TCTATGTATATTTAAATCACTAAATGCATGGATCAGCAACCAACTGCAGATGGACTAATACTGTCGATCATGTAGGTTTACTGGATCTTGTTCTGTTCCATTTCCCATCTTGGAAATTAAAGGAAAAGTCAATTTTTTGAAATTTTTGGGGGACTGCTGGTCTTCATGGGTGTTGATCTTTCAGCTTCATTCAGGGCCTGCTCTGTAAAGCCAATTTCTACAGCTTTTATGCCAGAAGGCCAGGCGGAGGAAGTCTGCAGAAACTGTGTCGTTCCTCACTCAGAAATTTGAATTCACATATGCACCTCCTCTGGCAGGGGTGCCGCTTGAAATATTGCCCCCCCGGCAAACATAAACCACCCACCAACCTGGAAAATCCATTTTATGATCTGTTGTCTAATAATAGAGAAAATGAAAACAAGAATGAAAGAAAGAAAAAAAAAAAAAGAAGTGTGCTAGAACAACCCTAGATGAGTGCATACTGCATAAGCACTCTTCAACAACTCCAAATGAGCTAGATAACCACTCCACATATAAATATTCATTTCCAAGTGTCTTATGGGCTTTGTTGTACAAAAGAGATGGACAATATAGGTAAACACGTTTTTTTTTTTAACACAATGGTGAATTTTACATCAACACATTAGTCATAACATGCTGCCTGGAGATGGATGCATACAAAATAGAAAAAAGGGTAGTTAGCTTAACCTGCTAGTAAAGGTTTCCAAATTTTGATGGGATGTTATTCTATAATGTAATAGATGAAAATATAATTTTAATTACATTTACTAACTAAAACACTAAAAGTCATCTCTGAGGGCCCCCATCAACAGTTTACTGTAAGAATGGACTCAAATTAACCTTAAACTTGCTCCACACAAGAGGAGTTTCAAATCTTAACAGATGTAATGACAGATCATTCAAATATGCACACTAGACACTAGACTATTCAGTTGGGATGCTGGACCACACACCTGCTCTTCAAACAAACCTTTCTGAAGTGGTGATTCCAGAGATTTGAGAAGAAAACTGCATAATCAAATGTAATTTCAGAATCAAAACAAACAAGGTGGTCTGCTGGCATCATCAGCTGGTTGCGTTTGTTTGTTTCATGTTTTGTACAAATAAAGAGAACACATTAAAACTTCTTTTTGTCACAGGAGACAGTTACACTGTAGACAGCCTTGTTTCAGTTCTAAACACAAACACGCAACATCGAGATGGAGATGCTTCCCGGTCAGCTCGCTCTCATTGGCTGTTGTGAGTTTCTGCTCATTCAATCAATCGCTGTTCCTGTCATACTAAACCACCCGAGCAGACTCCGATTTCAAATTGTATAACATCAAACAGGCTCTGATTCAGTTGGTGACATTAAGATGATGTGTGGGAACCTCTCACACGAAAAGGATGATTTGGCCAGATAATTAAAAAAAAGTGCAAAAGTGTGAAAAAAAAAAAGAATAAGTGCTGCCCATAGATATAATGTGCGTGAATGGGTAAGTGGCAAAAAAGCAGGACTGTAAAGCACAGTGGTCATCAAGACTAATAAAACACTATATAAATATTTACCTTTACAGATGAACTCACTCAGAATAACTGCCATTTTCATTATCACAGTAAAATCCAACTTTAAAATATTTTCTGCTGCTATCCAGCAAATAACTTTCCATTCCATTGCTTTAAATCCATACAGTTAATTTATTTCATTTTGCATATTTAATGTGTTATCCTTGCAAATCCCTTCCTACTAGATATTAGTCGATAAATATCTTTTTATATATAATATGTTTTTGGACGTGGCTGCTGGCTTTGTGTTTTTTTGGAGTAGAGAACAAAGATACATTGAATCTATACCTCATGACCTCTAGAGATTGATTCGTTTATTAAATTTCATAAATTTGCTCTGATAGGAGGTGGAGCCGCTTTTTCATAATGAGTACATATTTATAATGCTACAGGGTGTATGTGTGTTGGTGTTGGTTAGTGCCTGTGAGCGTGTGGCTGTGGAATGAGGTTGTTCTGGACTCGGGTCAGGATGCTGCGGTACTGTCTTCCCAATGCAGTGAATGGTTTATAGCTGTTTTCCCTTATGACGTTTTCACACTTAACCTTGGCACGTAGATGTCCATCAATGCTCGCAGTTTGTGTTGTTCTTTTAACGCAATTTCTCTAAGGTCTTGTCCAAACCTGGTATTAACATCTGTCTCCAGTGACGTGATCGGTAGTAGACAGCCGAAAGTACGTCCATTCACATCCAGTGTATCTATAGTGACCACTTCACTTCCTCGCTCTGTATGCAAATAAGCATGTATGTCATTTCTGTTCACAAAGAACAAATGATGTTTTTACCCAGTATGACTAGATGTGTGTTATCGGTGTGAGTCAGTGTGTGAGAGTGAGTGAAAAAAAAATCACTCAATATGTGTCAGTCACTGCTAATACTGTGGTGGTGGCAACAAATAATTCAATATCTGAAAATCTGAGAAGTGTCAGAGCACGTCAGCTGTGTAAGCAGTCCTTCAGTGTGCATGGCCCATTTGTGTTCACACAGCTGGGAGAATGTGGCCACACAGTGCATTCACACCTGAATACAGCGCCTTCCACTTGTGATCGGACCACTCAGGACAGATCAACATTCATTCATTGTCCACTCACCACTATGCAGATGGAGGGGTGGTTGAAGTGTTTGTGTCCACAAAACACTTCTGGAGTCTCAGGGGTAAACTTTGTTGCAGCAGAATCCAATGCAATGAATTCAATGGTGATGGAAAAATCACAACATACCTCCATAAATGACCTTGTTCCGAGTCTAATATATATATTTTTAATGCCCTGGCAGACCTGTCTGAACATAGTCTGAGTTTGTCTGTCTGCTGTTTTGTTTGACATTTGTTTTCTTCAGAAAACTATTGCTGACTGTTGGTCTAAGTGAACTTGGTGAGAAGTGTTGCAATCCTTAAAACCAAAACACTGAGCTGAAGAAGCACTGATGCAGCATTGGGGGATAATGAACTGCTCCACAGCCAGCCTCCAACCAGAAAAGGGTCTCCAGTCACTCTCTTACAGAGGTCACAAATAAATGTTTTTTTCCCCAAGAGTACTGTGTTTCAGGAATATTAGATGGATCAACTAGGACGTAATTATGAAATCAACTATGGAAAAGGCCAAAATGCCAATAAACTGCAGTGCTGTAGTTTGATATCTACGATAAGATTCCAGTGAATGGGGTTCACAGGCAACGTTACTGTTGCTCATTAGCTTCCTAGACTGCAGCACCTCCACCACTTCAACATGGACAAACATTTCTGATAGTGACCCAGAGGGCACCCTGACGGTTGACTGTCCCCGCCTAACTAAACTATTTCTAAACTATCCCTGTGGGTGGCTGTGTTCACAGTCTCTGCTGGCTGAGTGCACTCGGCTTCAGCTGTGCCTTCATCTCTGCAGAAATGCCTCTGAGATTAGATATTTGATTGCAGCTATCACCGGCTCACATCCTTGAGGCAGGCAGCACTGATCAGGCACGGCTCCCCGTGATAAAATTCTCCCCACATTAATAATGTATTGCACAGATCTTTGCCTTCACACAAAAAAGCTCAAACCTCTGTCCATTGACTGCTGCCTTGTAGTTCAGTCCAGAAATACAGAATTTCATCTTATCAAAATGCCCTCTCTGACCTCTCTATACAACCCAGTTTCTAAAACACCCCTTTTCGAAGTTTTGATGAATGTTTTAGAGCTGTGTCTCTCTCCATATAATTCATAACACCACCATCACCACCACGTAAAACAATATAGCAAGTAAACGTTATGGCAGAACAGTGTACCAATTAAAGTTACACATTAAGTAACACATGGTTTAATTGATCACAATGACAATAACAGAATATGAGCACATAACTTCAAATTTCATGACAGCATTCATTGGCAGCACTACATCACCAGCTAGGGGAGCTTTTTCCTATGGAACGGGTTCTGTCCATTGCCATGCTGTGAGCTAAATGCTAAAGTTGACATGCTAATATCATCTCAGTGAGACTGATTATAAGCCTTTGCATTTGCTAATTTATGTTAAGCACAAAATATGCCAGGACCAATGGGAATATCATTACTTTTGAAACACTAAATATTCTGACCACATAGCGTTACAGTATATGAGTTCATCCTAGGATCAATCCAAGAGCAGGATTGATTTAAGTTCAAAGAATCAAGAGGATAACATTCCTTAAACTGTGCAATAGCAAACATTGGAGAAGACCATTAGCTGGTAATGAACTACTGTATGTCCATTCATGTTTTATAACCTAAACTGCCTCGATCCAGAAGGATGATGTCATCTTGTACAATATCCGTGAACTCTGTCTCCTCAAAGTACCAGACTCTTGATTGTAAATATTTCACATGTAGTGATGTACACCCCCCCCCCCCACCCCCGACATACACTCACATACTCTTACACACACTCACTCTGACCCTCACGTAAATGCTTCCCTTTCTCTCCACCAAATAGAATCAGTTAGCCAACCATCCATAACTTCCTCTCTGTTTTTGATATTTATTAATTTAGTTTGACACAGTTTTTTTTTCTTCTTCCTTCCATCATTTTTTCATTTGAAGTGGAGAATCTGGATCTGTGGGTCATCATGGCTTCTTCTCCCTTTGAAGCAGGAACAAAATGCTTTCTCTGTGCTTCATGCTGCCAGTATCATTAGCTGCTTTGATAGAGTAGAGGAGAGCAATAAAAAAAAAATCTAGATACTTTTCCAACAAAATCAACAATGTGTTTGTTGTAACTGTAGAAGGAAATAAATAAATACATTTTCACTATTGAACAAAGCATTGAATATTTAGTTTTGTTATTGTATTCTTTATTGATGTAATCACCATTTAAAATTTGGTTTTTCAACTTTCATTTCATTTAGTTGCTCCACTGACTTAGAGATTTATTTGACTTTAAGTAAAAAATAACCCTAATATATGATATGTATTTCTCTTTGCAGTGGTAGTGTTGTATGTTCAAGGCCTGGGGACCAAGGAGTGGAGAGAGGTGAGTGCAAAGCAGTTTCTAAACCAAACTTTCTTATTTTAGGGGAATAAAAAGTTAACTGAGCTGATCAGAAAATCTGGTGGATTTACATGAAAAAAATATGTATATCAGCTGCACTTATTAAAATCATGTTCACTCAAAACTATTTAATTGTTAGATACACATAATTTTTTTTTTGTCATACAAACATGACTTTTTTACGTTAATTTAAATATATATTTTAATGTTAAGCATATTAAATTTCCCTTTGTTAAACCAACATAACTTTTTAATGTTAATTTAAAGCGGTATATTCAATTAGTACCTGTTATAGCAACATGAGTTTTTTATTTAAATTACATGCAGTCTGTTTTTGTTAAATCTACCTAGCCTGCTCAAGTAAGTCATACACTATTAAGTTATAAAACATATGCGTTAATTTTTGGATCCAGGATTATTTCTGTGCACTGATTTATTTTATGGTAATAAAGGCATTTCGTACATTCTTCTATCTGATCCCTCCTAATCTCTTATCTACAGCATGTATCATAACATATTCTGAAAAAAGAGGGAATGTAGAAAAACTAATTTATTTTAACAACATAAGTGTATTTTCTCAAAGAATAAAACAACAGTGGACTACAAATCCACAATAGTTTTTGGCCTTTTCCACCCAAAAAAAATGAAAATAAAACATTCAATCACTTCCAAAAAACCTTATGTATGTATGTATAAGTAAACATCTCTCACGTGATGGAACACAGCATTTTTTCCTTCACAGGAACACGTGTAACCCTTCTTCTCAAGAGTGCATAGTAAATACCTATAACTGCTACAACTGAATGCAACTGAATGAGTCCTTAGAACAGCTTCCAAAAAACTCCAAAACCCAATAGAGTAGCGGTTGGTCAATAGAGGGCACTAGGGCGACACACTCCCTTGTGGAGAGTGTTTTATTGTTTTTATGTTTTTTTAAATCTTACATTACCTATGATAAATTATTTAAGTATTTGTGTTTAAATTTCACAATAACATGTGAAATGGAAATGTCGCCCATAAAGCAGAGACCAGTAGCCAATAAGGGGAAGATACGGTACGGCAAAGTAAATTTAGCCAATTAATATTAACAAAAATAATGCCCGAAGTGCGATTCTGACAGCGCCAGTGTAAGTGGTGGATGAAATCAGACGGAACTAGTAACAATGACGGCCACAGGTACGCATGAAACAGCATCGCAGCCGCCAAATTCAGTACAATCTCTTCTCCGAACTCCATTCTAGATGAGAACTTTGGTTGGAAAAACTGCGAATTAAAGACATTGGACCAGATTAACTTGATATTAAAATCATCCAACAAGCCAGCGAAAAAGGTAAAACGTACACCTGAGGATTTTCCCATCACTGGTCCAACAGAAAGGCGTGGCTAGCAGGATGTATAGAGTATGAGTCATAAGATATCCAGCAGTATATGGCACTTCCTCTTTTGTTGTAATAGTGTTTGTTAATAGCACTGTGTATGTTTCAGGAATGTGTACTTAGTAAACACTAGTAACCAGACTCAGTCTGTAGTCTAATGATGCATTTTATAATGGCACTGAAATTAAGGAATAACAATGGCTTGATTGAAATTCTATCAAGGAGCTCTTGAGATATCCCTTTCACCAGAATAGGACAGACAACTTAAACCAAAATGCCTCCAGCCAGTGGCTGTCAAAAACATGACAGGTTGAATTTGGTTGATGGGACATGTCCCAGGAAGTAATAAAATGCAGGACAACAATTTTAACAATGCATAATTCACAAAGTTTGCACTGCACTATCAACTTAAATCAATATATATTTGCATTTCAAGAGTGTAATTTCATAAATCACATACCTAATTTACTTGAAAGACTGCTGGTCATCTTGCTTGGAAGTCTTGTATCATGGGTGTATCACGTAACACTTCATATCTCCTATTTTCATTCTCACCAGCTCCCTGTTATTCCTCTTCTTAACATCTGAAAGAAGTTCCACTCTCAGACTCTCAAGGCTGACTTCAGATTCTCCAACAGTACAAGGGGGGCAGTAGTTCACTTCAGACCGCCTTGGTTATTTGATTCCAAAAGCAGCCCTTGATTTGCTCTCTGGTTTCTGCTTGAGAGAGTTAACCATCACCCCAGCTTTCTCAAGTGAGTGTGGTAGATTGCCAGTTTATTCTTAGAGCTAACTTTCCAGTGAGGGAGCCTTTCTCAGTCAGGCAGGGATGCTTTGTGATGAGGGCCTCTCCAACCATGTTAAACTGCTTATCTGTGACATAAACTTTGTACCAGACTATTTCTTGCACCAGTCCTTTGAGAATGTTCAACCTCAGTTTAGAATAAGCAAGGTACCCTTTTTCCTGTATGCTGCATGACCCCGCTCAAGTTTCAGCTCTGCATCACAGCAGAACTGAGGAGCACGGAAGATGCTAGGCCAAACTGACCTTGACCCAAATGACTCTGGTGAGGAGAGTATGTCACTGTGAACACACCCACAAGACAGGGATGAGGATTCTTCAAGAACATAAATAAATAGCTGAGATGGAGAGGCTTTCAGCAAACTGGGGATTTGAGGCCTCTGTCATGGGGGTTACTCTGACGGTCCCTCTATCCTGTACCACTGAAGGGAGATACATGAACTAATTTCCAAATTGTGCATCATTGCATAAATTTCAGTCTGAAGTTAGTGTCAAGACCAAATTGTCTTTGTACCTCGCTAACAATTTCTTTAACGGATCCAGGAAGTCCATTTTGGAAAGTTAAACTTTGGCTGTTGTTGTGTGACCCAGGATTACTTTGAGAATGGCTGGGGAATTCATCCTTCTACGTCTTGGTCTGTGAACAGGATGAGAAAGATTTCGTTTCTAAAAGTTGCATATTGTTTTATGTTAAGATGAACGTTTCCTTATGTTAAGAACAACAACTCATTTATAACATACATCTGAATGATTTCAGCAAACTCTGGCAATCCACTTGCTGATCCATTGGCAACTATCATACCCTTGATATAGGCTATGCCAGTACTTGATGCATTATTGGCAAGATGCACTTCAGATGTGTTTCAGTACATCAACTGGTGTGGACACACTTGATACATCAAGGCCACAGGATTGTGAGTTTACGTGGAAAGCAATCATAAACTGGCCTTCTTAAAGCAACTTGTATGCTTTACAATCCGCTTAAAGAAACTAGAGGGCCTAGAGGACCAAAACACCTTACCTTCTGAGGGTAGTGCTCAAGATAGTGGTGCTTGGTGGACACTAGGAAAGAGCTCTTCTGGCTTTGCTCAATTAATTCGCTTTCAAGGTATGATATGATATGATATATCTGTATGCACTGGAGCAACAACTATGCCATGCTGGCTCATTTTCTGGCACTAGAGGTGAAACCTCGGTAAAATCCAAATTTCATGGGCAATGCCTCTAATAGTTTTCTGACCCTAGAGACTATGTAGCACAGCATGTGGTTTATTTGTTTGTCTCACCATTCATAGGTGAAAGTCAGTATAGCTTTATTCAGCCCATCTAATGTAAATAACTTCTGTGATATCATTGATTTCAAGCAGTAAGCCAGCTCGACTGGGACAGTACCCTCAAATGCATCATGAGCACCGTCAGGAGAAAACGTAAAAATGAGACAGATTTTTGGTTAAAACACACTCTGTTTTAACTCCAAAGCAATGGGCAATATTGTTAACAGCTGCGTTCAAATGAGCCGCATAGGCTAAAAAGCACCGGATATCACAACTTTTTGCAGTACATGACCAACATAAGAAAACACCTCCAGAGTGTTAAGATCTTACAGAAAAGGTTTTAACACTTTGTCATAACCATATATTTTTAAATCAACACTTTAGCAAAGTACTGCAAGAAAAATAGATGATAAAGATGAGTCAGATCCATGTGGCAGGTTACCTAGAACCCAATAAACACCACAAAGCTTATGTTTCTTCCAAGAGGGGCTTTGCAAGTTTCAAAATCGTCCACATTCTGACGCATCGACCTGGTACATGCACTAAATACTCCAACTTCAACAAAGCTTCTGCAAGCTGCTGCTCAACAATACTTGGGAGTGCGTTGTATTGGCCTTTCCGCTCTAGGGATGTAACAGAAACTTCCTCTTCTAGATACTCCTCATCCTGGCAATCAGCAAACGAATCATGTACTGATGGTGATGCTAATGTAGTTGTTATCACCATACCATGTATAAAATCAGTTAGGTTGTGAGGTGTGTGTCAGCGACTCTTATGAGACACACACATTATCTCATTAATTTTGTTATAATTATAATTTAGTTTTGATTAATAATATTGTTTTTATATGTATTGTATTGAGTATATTGTATTATATGCTTTGGCAATATTGTTTTGTTACATGCATGCCAATAATGCTATTGAATTGTGAGAGAGATAGAGAGGGAGAGAGAGAAATGGGAGGCCAGCCAACCTAACACACATCCAACTGAGCTTTCCTCACACAAATGTCAACAATGCTGGTTTCCACCAGGCCAATAAGAACCAGTGCCATGTCCCAAAAAATAACACCAACAAAATAAAAGAAATAATAATAACAAATACTCATTGATTTTGAGATTGAATCCTTTGTGTTTGAGTGCATCTGTGCAGTGCTGAACATTGCTCTCGCAAAAGTCTACCTCTGTGTCATAGCCTGCATGGGCAACTTTTGACACAATGGGAGCCCTTTGAATTTTAAAGTAATTACCTACTGGGGCCCATCATAATCTAATTTGTCCTACCACAGTTTCACAATGAACCACATTGATTTACACAATCTAAACATTCGAGATCTGTAACTTCTCTAACTTATCTTGTCTTTATATCTCTCTCGCTCACTTACTCTTTTGGCGACACTAGGAGAAATCCCTCCATGTCACCGGGCTGTTAAAAAATCTAGAAGTAAATGTCTCTTTTACTTTCATGATGTGGCATTTTTAAGAAGGTCATTTTTAACACAGGTTATTTTTATGCAATAAATCTTAATGT